CCCCAAAACCCCAAAACCCCAAAACCCCATCATACAAAAATATACTTTTTTAGCAATAAATAAATTTAAATAGAATGTTAAATATAAAGATAATGATAATCCCTCTTCATATAATGTCCTTTCAATTAAATGTATCTATTTCATATTAAGCTTCTGAATTTCTGCTCCTTTCATTATCAAGATCTGTCTATACTAACAATAGTTCCCCTTTAAGCTTTAGATTTTCCTAATTTTTTTCAAGAAGGCTATTCTAGAGTTTTAAAGTCTCAGCTCTTAGCTACTCGTTCTCAAGTTTCTTTTGGTTCAATTTTTACTCATAGTCCCTTTAAATTTCCTCAAGATTATCATTATCAAGTGGTTTATTAGCTATCGATACTCCTTATTTACTAGGGGATCCTGAACTTTGAACAGTATGATTGTAATTTTAATTAATTAGCTGTTGGTTTTTATCTTCCAGCTCTTAAATCTTAATCTTAAGATTTTGTATTTCAAGTTCCTATCTAATGTACTTTTTCTAATCACCAGATGATTATTCTTCTGCACCCTTAAGTAAGTCAAGCTTTTCCTGTTCCAGTTCATCCACTATACAAATGTTATGAGAATGATATAGTCTTACATTTTTACTGCATTAAGCTTTTGTAATTCTCATAGGACTTCTACTTAAACTCAATTTAAATCTTAAGATCCTCTATCTCTTTTTCAAGATCTTTGATCTTCCATCTTTAAGACTCATTTTCCTTAATCACATCCTCAACATCTTAATGCTAAAATTGGTTAGTCATGGTTCTAGATTTATCATAGATTGAGTCTTGTGAGGGTGATTCATCAAGGCCAGGCTCATTTTATGCTGAATTATGTTCACTACCACCTTTCTCCTCTTCTAATCTATTATCAGTACTAGCTGTTTATCTATTAGAGATCATCGATTGTTTACTTTAGATTTCCTCATCCTCGCTACTGGAATCATCAATAAAATTATTCATCTACTGATTAGCATTATTAGTGAGTTAGTTACTACCATCATCCTTCTGAATGGATATTTATAATTCAATCTTGGAATTTGGAAGTGCTTTATTAAGTTACAGTATCTTAGTATCTCCAGCAGTATTCATAAATAGAGATATATCTAGTTCAAGTTCACCCATTAGTTTTTCTTTATTACCGTTGCTGGCAGCATAACCTTTTACTCTAATATAAGCTAATTTTTTGAAATACTTTTCAGTTTTAGTGCTCTTATAAAAGATAGAAGCCTTTGAGAATGTTTCATTGATATGGGCCATAGGCTTTTCTTTAGTTAATTCAAAAGTGGTCTTAGTCTCACTTTTTTTGTTCCCCCTTCGCCATTCTATAGTCATTCTTTGATAAGGCTCTTTAACTGGAATTTCCACTGATAGTATCTTCATCAGAACTAAAAATCTTTCCTTCTTCGTTCCCATGCGCATCAAAAACTTCGACATTTTTATTTATTCCTCAGATTTATTTGATTATTGATCTGATCTCTAAAATCAGATTATAATCCTTTGAAGGGGTTTTGGGGTTTTGGGGGCGAAAGAGAACTAGAAATCTTGATAAATG